CCTCCTGGGTTCAGGCAATTCTCCTGCCTCAGCCTCCTGAGCAGCTGGGATTACAGGCATGCACCACTATACCCAGCTAGTTTTATTTTGTATTTTTAGTAGAGACGGGGTTTCACCATGTTGACCAGGATGGTCTCAATCTCCTGACCTCGTGATCCACCCACCTCAGCCTCCAGCGTGCTGGGATTATAGGCCTGAGCCACCACGCCCGGCCCCAAGTCTGAGTCTTTTAAGATGGCTAAAGGATTAACATTTTAATAATGACAGGATCATGATACTGGCTTTGTGTTTCTAGGATAAACCCTGATGACATTCCTAGTCTCATTTGTTGATTTATTCAGTCAGACATATTTAAACATGGAACATGTATGCTGTCCAAGACTATGCCAAAAAAGGTCTTTTTAACTATAAAACTGCATGAGAATCATACCACAGCTTCTCTCGTCGGAACCCACTGAGTCTTTCATATACACACTGTTGTATATCTATGATACAACAGTTATTCTGATCCCAGAGATTCCCTATCTTTCCAAATTTAAGTATGTTGTGACAGTACGCATGATTAGAGGAATTTTATTCTAGATAAATAAATAAAATCATCTTAATAGTTTTTGATGAATATAAAAATTAGATCATTTAAATTCTGAGTTTCCCTTGTTCTATTGCTAATGTAAACATGAATCTATCTTCACTCTGAAGTATTTTATTATAATCTTTTCTTTTTTAATCAACTAAATTGCCAAGGAGTTTAGTTCAGAAATAAAATAACTTTTAAAATTTCAAAAGACAGGCAGCTAAATATTATCAGGATTTCACAAAACATACAGTTTACTGAGGTTATAGTCAAGTGCTTTGCAACTTCCTGAGTGAGGCCAACTTGATGACATTTCATGTTGAGAAACTTCCGTTACAAGCAGAAGTTCTGAGAAAAATAATACGAAGAAATTGTAGATACTCCATCACTTCACACACACACACGCACTTCCATCCTCCCCACAACCATCAAAGAAACTTGTATAACTAATTTGCATACAGACTTCAAGTACCCTTTCATAAAGTGGGAAGTCACGCTACCATCATGTAAAGGTTGAGAGCAAAATGAATAGAGACTAAATATAGGTAAACGAACGGCAGCTTCTAAACTTGACCAGGAATTTGTCCATAGAAATGAGATAAAAGTAACTTTCCTTTTATATTACTTCCTATTTAACTGCTGAATTCCTCTGATCATACCCAGTGTTGACCTAAACATAGAGACTGGAGGAGGTCATGGAGTTGAACCATCTCGTTTGAGAACTGTGTGACTCTGGGCAGGTTATTTATCTTCTTTTTTTTTTTTGAGACAGTCTCACTCTGTCACCAGGCTGGAGTGCAGTGGCACGATCTTGGCCCACTGCAACCTCTACCTCCCAGGTTCAAGCAATTCTCCTGCCTCAGCCTCCCAAGTAGTTGGGACTACAGGCGCGTGCCACCACACCCAGCTAATTTTTGTATTTTTAGTAGAGACAGGGTTTCACCATGTTGGCCAGGATGGTCTCGATCTCTTGACCTCGTGATCCGTCCACCTCAGCCTCCCAAAGTACTGGGATTACAGGCGTGAGCCACCACACCTGGCCAGGTCATTTATCTTCTAAGGTTAGTCTTTTTTTTTTTTTTTTTTTAAATCTACAAAATGTTGTCAATTAAACGAGATAATGTATGTAAAGCACACAGCACAATGCATGCAGTACGTGCATAAAACAACTACTGTTATTATATCCACTACTTCATTTTACTCATTGATGTCTGGATATTCAGTGGAAGCAGTGTACATGCTACCACAATGCAGGCATGGACTTGTCAGACACAAACTGTCTCAGAACTAGGACAACTGTGTTTGTCAGAAGCAATGAGAGAGTTAGCTGGCTTAACAGAGCTTCTCAGATGAATGACCATTTCTTCATGAAAGAATATTTCTTTGTTTACTCCTGACCAGCTTAGGAAGAAGCTGTATTATATTTAGCTTTGATTCCTCACACCTAGCTTGATTGGAGTACTTTTTTTTTTTTTTTTTTTTCTTTTCCCGAGAGGGAGTCTCACACTCTGTCACCCAAGCTGGTAGCTGGAATTACAGGTGTGTGCCACCATGCCTGGCTAATTTTTTTGTATTTTAGTAGAGACAGGGTTTCACCATGTTGCTCAGGGTGCTTTTGAACTACGAAGTTCAGGCAATCCGCCTGCCTCTGCCTCCCAAAGTGCTGGGATTACAGGCATGAGCCACCGCGCCTGGCTGGAGTTCTCATTTTTGAAGAATGAAGGATTTATAAATAAATGCCTAATGAATGAGTGAAAAACATAAATAAAAGTTTTGGGGTTATTACTGGTATTACTGCACCCTGGACCTTGGTCTCTTAAAGATTACGGGGTCACAACTCATTATGCTACAGATAACAGAGAAGCCCTTAGGAAGGCACCCATTTACCTATTTATGAAGCTTATGAGCATTTAGGCAAACAATCTTCCATGAGAAATCAAAGTGCAGAAAGAGGCTGAGAAGCTACCAGGAACATGTATGACCTAATCATACCCCCCCTTCCCTATTCTCATCATGCAAACTTCTCACATTTGAATTCCCAACAGTTAGAGTATCAGAAGGTCTGTGTGAGGTACATTATAAGTTTAGAAACCATGAGGGAAGAATCTAAAAAATGACATTAGTATATTCAGTGGTTTCTTTTGACCTTCAGGGGTCCCTGATGGGCCTGAGTGCAAAGCCCCATTTCCTCATAGGGCAGGAGTAGAATCCTGATGTGTAAGGCTAACAGGATCGTTTCCTTTC